TCGGAAAACTTTGTGATAGATCAAAATGAAATGATAATTCCAGGAGAATAATCAAGGCGCTGGCATAGCAATATTTCGATACAACTTTTGATGCGCTATCAGTTGATGAAGAAAGTTGGACAGCAGCATGAATGTGAAGGGGCGCTGCCCTATAGTATCTGGAGATAGTTTTTCTTAATTTGATCTTTGATCTCTATGTATAAATCGGTCAGAAGTGGTTCATTGGTGGTTATTGGCGGGTTAGTGGCCCAGGCATGGATGGGTTGGAATGGGAAGGTGGGGGAAAAGTGGGTGGAGACTTGGGTGTGGGCGGGGCCAAAAGTGGGCGGAGCTAGCAAATTTCGAAAAAATCGACATTTCTCTAAAATCTTCCACCGTAGTCCTAGAGAAAGAAGCTATCTCGCTAATCAGATGTGTTTTTTGTAATCAATGGGTCGGATAACATCCATGGTTTGATTTTCTAAGGAACTAGTAGCACTTGATTTTTTCTCGCTCCTCACTCTTGGCCTCGGCGCAAGATTTGGTTCAAAATATTAGGTTCTCGGATTGACCGGAAACTTCGCTCATAGTGGTTTTTGGTCCCGATCTTTACGAAAATCCTATTTATTTTGCACTAGAGAGTCTTACAGTAAAGCTAAAGTGAGATAGAAGTAGCTAAACCAATCAAGATCGCAACTTCGCCTGCACTTTTCGCCTACCTGTTGCGGAAATTGTCCGCAAATTTTTATGAGTTCAAAACTTTGTGAACACCTCTATCGGACCATGCTTAGCACAGATATTTATTTGAATTGTTCGTCAGATTATGATGTTACAAAATCGCCTTCTCATGAATTGTCTTTCAAATTCGAAAGTCGTGTTGGCAGATATTCTATCCTACAATGTGTCACTAGCAGCAAAACAATGTAAGAAATGTTGTTAGCACGTCGAATACAATACCGCTCACAGAATGTGCAAAATTTCCGTAAATGTCGCGAAATTCCGAAAATGTCGCGAAATTCCGAAAATTCCGCGAAATTTCCGGAATTTCGCGAAACTTCGCGACATTCCCGGAATTTCGCGAAATTCCGGAAAGTTCGCGGAAATTTCGGAATTTCGCGACATTCACGGAAATTTTGCACGTTATGAGAGTGGTATTGTACAGTGCTGGCCAAAACTATACTTCCACCCTGAAAGCTGCCGTAACTCATCTGCTTCTCAACGAATTGATCTGAAATTTGGTACAGCTGTGTGTTTAACAGGCTAGATATGAAGATAAATATGAAAGGCAGATATGAAAGGCAGATTTGGACTTAACTCATCAAGACGCATCTCATGATATGCAGTTTACTCCAATTCGCCACATTAAGTTGGGATCGTTCCCTTGTCAGATTTTTTGTAGATTCACATCCCAAAATATGAAACTTTTGCAACACCTACGACGTGTCATCCCACAGTGCTGGACATAATTATAGGGACACTCTAGAAATCGTCGTAATTTTCGTTCTTGGAATCTGTCGGAAACATTGCTGTATGGTGCGCATGTAAGCCTACCATAAATCCTCAGAACGGCTTTCAATCCCGTTGATTTCGAACGGAGAAATGGAAAAAATCGAAAAAGCCTGTTTTGCAAGCTGGACATAATTATAAGGACACCTGGCCTTTTTGAACATTATCGCATTTCTTGACTCCCAAATTTTTTTGTTGAGTTACATCCCAGAATTTGAAAGTTTTGCAGCACCTAGGACCTGTCATGCTACTCAACGAAAGATCATCCTTGCATTTTTCGTTTCCAAAGGCATCACAAGTCAAACTGCTTCAATAAACAACTGGTTTGAAGAGTTTTCAAGTCCTTGTTCATTTCAAATGATAATCATGGAGTCTACTGATCCTTCTGGATAGATGAGGTGAAGAGCGCTTTCGCAAACTCCGCGTAATCGCTGATATTGACGGACACACTCCAACCGCATCATAGGATTGTCACTCTTTTGCACCACAAAACTCACTTTCCAATGGTCGTGAAGTGATGGACTCGATTTATTATATTGTCTACATGGAGATGCATCTTTTGCAACAACCTTTAGGTTTTTTCTAGTGCTGCAGTTGCCATTTAGACCTGAAATAATTTCCATAATTCTCTGCGAGCAGTAGATTCAACATAGTCACAAATCTCACTATTTCCTTCTCTGTTTCAAGTCGCAGTCTACGCGGTAGCTGATATTAGTTAAGATTTTGAAGTTTCGAGCGGTCTCCTGTTCGATTTCTTGATTTGAGTTGGATATGATTGTGCAGGGTGCTCGAGTCAACTCTCAACGGATGACAACTGCGGGACCAGAATGTGCAACCCCGAAATTTTTTCCTGACTAGGCATACAAGTTTATTGTTGTACAGCCCACGTAGTGGCTACATTGCAGCGTTTTCTGTAACTTGAAAATCGAGTTTTGTGAAGCAGAAGCGCGACACCCTATGGTTGGAGTCTGTTTGTCAATATCAGCGAATACGCGGAAGTTACGAAAGCGCTCTTCACCTTATCTATCAAAAAGGCTCAGGTTATTCCAGGACTGTCATTTGAAATGAACAGGGCTTGAAAACTCCTCAAAGCAGCTGTGTGTTGAAGCAGTTTGACTTCTGACGCCTTTGGAAACGAAAAATGCAAGGAACATCTTTCCTTAAATAGGATGAGAGCGTAGGTGTTGCAAAAGTTTCATAATTTGGGATGTAAATCTACAAAAAAATGTGAAAGTCAAGGAATACGATAATGTTTAAGGCAGGGTTCATACTGAGCCGCACAAAGCGGCACAGTTCCCGCACAGCGCTCGAACTGTGCTCGAACTGTGCCGGAACTGTGCTGCATGCGCAGTTGGAGTATTTTGACGGTTTCTGACGGTTTTTCTTTTAGGTTTCTCTCAATTCGGGTTTTATCCCTCCACCCCGCTTTTCCGTTTGTTGTGTAGCGCTTCGAACTTGAAGCGGGGTAGAAGAAAGAGCGAAGAAGCAATGAAATGGAAAAAGAACGCGGCTGAGAGGATACATGAAGCACAATCGCGTTCCTTCTTTTACCCCGCTCCAAGTTCAAAGCTCTACACAACAAAAAGGGAAGCGGGGTAAAACAAAGAACGAAAAAACAACGAAATGAAAACGAAGAGCGGCTAGGAGCCCAATAGTGGCCAACAAATTGATGGGATTTCCTGCTCTTCTGCACTATTTTTGCCCTCCTTTAAGAAAAATGCCTGCGAAAATATCGCAGTGTCTTCTGGAAATAGATGGAATACTTTTATGCAAGGATAAAACAAAGAGACATGAATGAGCGGAACAACACACATAATCGGACACACAAAGCAGAACAGCGCTCTTTCCTCAACCCCGCTTTGCACTCGAAGTTCTACTCATCAAAAGGAAAAGCGGGGTGGAGGAATAAGGCCCGAATTGAGAGAAACCTAAAAGAAAAACCGTCAGAAACGGTCAAAATACTCCAACTGCGCATGCAGCACCGTTCCGGCACAGTTCGAGCACAGTTCGAGCGCTGTGCGGGAACTGTGCCGCTTTGTGCGACTCAGTATGAACCCTGCCTAAAAAGAGCAGGTGTCTTTATAATTCTATCCACTTTTCAAAACAGGCTTTTTCGAATTTTTCCATTTTTCTTCGTTCGAAATCAACGAGATTGGAAGCCATTTTGAGGAGTTATGGCAGGCTTACATGCGCACCATGCAGCAAGGTTTCAGACAGATTCATTGACAAGATCGAAAGTGACGACGATTTTTACAGTGTCTTTATAATTATGGCCAGGATGAAGTGGAGACATCTGAGAAGAAAAGCAGAACGTGCTTAAAGTCAGTGGCTCTGCAAATCTCAACTTAATCAAATTTGCGCTTACCTGGGGTTATTCAATACCCTGATACCGAAAATCCACCTTTGAAAGCTTGAAAACGGCAAAAATAAGCGTTTTTTAATGCCCTTCATTCTGGAATCGGACGAGTGGAGCAAGGCCGATGACACTAAATCGTTGCAGGACCCAATAATTATAGCATTGCAGCGGGCAGCCTCCAATGGTGAAAAAGAAATGGCCAACTGGTCCAGATGCGTGCTAGATTAGCCTGGTGTGTAACTGAATTATAGACTGTAAAAGGCATTTTCGGCCTACCGTAATCAAAAATAGGCGCGATGGTAATGTTGGCTGCAGAAACATGCGACATTACGTCTAGATATTGCCCATTTCGCGTGGAGAGATGTATTGCTTCATGATCTTGTAGTTTCTCTTTACTTTTTCCGAATCTTGCGCATCACTGCGTTCATTGCTAATCTGTCTACTTTGTGTAGAGTGGAAATGTCACAAAGCACGAATCTTTAGGATGTGACCGTTATATACGTCGTCTCCGACGCGAGCCTCGCAAATGCTACGATGAACATCGCGCTGTCGGGGACAATGCATCAAATTTCGAGATAAAGATGTTATAAATGCAATCTTTTAACATGATTTCTTGAATCTTGAACGTGTATGGCGTAATTAGTATTCTTTAGGCTGGATACCTAACTGACATGGATCAAAACTGTACGGTGTTCGGAAACTCCCTTGAAGACGTTATGAATGGTGCGCGCCACTGGATGAGTTTTGTCATGCTGGTAGTAAGTATATTTGACACGTTGTACGTATAGTGCGCAAACGCCTTGTAGGCGGAACTGCAACGTGCTTTACAAGAGATTGCGTGATGAATGGCATCTATACGGTGACAAGTTCGACTCATGGCACGAAGCAATATATTAATGAATTACCATAACGAAGCTCATTGCCGTCTTGCTCATTGCTCAAGATTCATTGCTCTACATCACAGCGGTCAAAATGGAACGCGCTTCCAGGTCTGAATCTTATATAACTTTCATCATTTGCTCTATAGTCGAGTTTAGTGCAACCGCATTCGTTTGCCCATACAATGTGGAAGTTAGGCGTAGGTTGTACGACCATCTCTTCAATGCGCATTGCTGTAGCAAACAACAAAGTTAAAATGAAGAGGAGGCGGGAGAAAGTAATGGCAACCAAGAATCCTTCTACTTGTGACGTATGCGGGTCTTTGTTTACAAACCTGAGATCGATGCGAACACATCAAAGAGAGAAACACGCCGATATATACACATCATGGACAATAAGTTGTCCTCTATGTGGAGCTGAAGTCTCTGTAAGTAAATCAGCATTACTTTTTCAAAGCTCATGTGGAATAATTAGAAACACCGTGAGTTAGCAGTGCACGCGCGCTTCACACATGCGCAAGATGACGACGATTATGTTGTTGAAAAGATAAGTTTCGGCACTATGCGTGAGTTTAAGGTCAGCTCATCTTGACCGTAGTAGAAATTACAATGAAAAATTTTTCTTAAGGAATGGAAGGCTTTGACAGAAGAAACCAATGTCATTAGCCGTGTAATCCCTGCTACTTATCGCTCGTCCAGCAATGCAAAAATCACCTATATGCGATGCCACCGGGCTTTGAAAACTCCACATGTAACCCCGCACAAAATTAAGAAAGCTGTGCCCTATTGTACCGCAGACATGAAGGTAACCGTAGATGGTCAGTGCTCAACGCTTCCGTGAAGCTGAAGCATTTTAGATAGTGGAGGATGTTGAAGTAATAAATGTAGAACACTGCTTCACCCACATCGGCCACGATCCGAACCCCGCAATGCTAAAATTGGAGGAAACGGCAGTGCAATACATAATCTCACTTTTAAAAGAGGGCCTAACTGTGCGGCAAGTCTATAGAAAACTCAGGGAAAAAGTCCGGGATGCAGCAAAGAATCGACTTTATTTTACGACAATGCGCGACATAAGGTGCGACGGAGCGCCTCTGGTGCATACTGTAAAGTTGCTTTTTTAGGAACATTGCTGCTAAATGCTGTATCCAGCCAGGAAAGCTTCACAACCTCGACCGTATCCATACAATTGCGTGTCGACAAAAACTGCCCGTCCGGCGGTATACAGTATTTTAGCCCTGCGCACAATGCCAATGGCGACGGTTTTACGCTTGGTAAGCCGCATCCGCATAGTATCACCACCCATTCATATAACTTTTATCAGTGATTATCACGCCAACACAGAGAGACTGGTTAAAAAGATATGGTCAGAGAGCCCTTTGCGTCGATGATACCTTTAACCTCACGTCATACGCATTGAGGCTCGCTACCGTAGTAGTAGCTGACGAGTACGATCGGGGATTACCAGCAGCGTATCTTCTTTCTTATAGGTGAGACGGCTTTGGGCTGGTTACAACCATATGGCTTTTTTCAGAATGACGGAGTCAGAGACGGCAGTGTTGTTTTAACAAGTGAAAAAGCATCTACCTTCATTTCATACGGATTACTTCATGTCTGACGACACAAATACGTTTTGGAATGGGTTTGCACGAGTGTTTCCTACTGAATGGACCCAGAGATTACTGTGTATTTGGCACGTAAAACAGGCTATAAAAAGAATCGCGCAAGCTAAGCTGAACAAAGTGTGTTAGTCAGCTTTACCGCATGCACTTTGTCAAATTTCGTTACAGATGGAGTTACTGAAGCCCTTCATGCAAAAGGTTCATGAAGTGTGCCTAATCCGCGGACGAGATGTTTTTGTGTCGAAGTATTCGTCGCTCTTAAAGCATCTGAGGGACTTGCCTGAAACGCGCCTTGTCGCATATCTTGAAAATTCCTGGTACGTCTTCGGTTTCTTGGTCTTGTCATTGATTTGCCAATTACAGGAGTCACAGAATTAAAGAGTGGGCCGCTTTTGGACGGGTGCACGCATGCGTAAGTACGAGTATGCTTTGTGAGCGTTTTCATAAACGCTTGAAGCACGACATTTTGCAAGGAAAACCTAATGTGCGCATAGACAGCCTCGTTCACCTGTTGATCGCTTTAACCGTAGAGACGGAAGAAGAGAGAGAAATTTTGGCGAGATAATACTTCTTGATAAGCTCATTTTGTAATGATTTGCTTGCAGAAAGAGAGAGGCGTTTTAGAAGGCAGATATCGCTTGCAGCAACATCATAGATGGCATAAAGCCGCGGTGGATAAATACGCTACCCAGCAGGATTGATCGTTTCGACCCAAGCAGGTCGCTGGCAAATAACGGATGGTAGCGCTACCTACAACATCCAGGAACACTTCTGCCCCTGTGATAGCGAAGTACATTCATACTTTACCAAGCATCTTAACTTTTGTTGATCTTACGATGTGCTGCTTTCAGCACAACAATCATTGCCGAAAGGATGCATGCGGAGCATGCCCGTACGCATTTTCGTGCAATTGTTCCTTAGACACCAGGTGTGGTATAAGCTGCATGCATGTGCACGCCGTCGTAATGTTTGCGTGTCAGGGTGAGAAGTACAGTCAAAATCAACTCGCTTACAGCCACTATAATGCACTATAGGCCGGCAAACGTCGGATGGGACAAGCAATGGAGCAGTCGAAGTTGTCACTGAACCAGATAGCACTTCCGAAGACGAACTGGAAGATGACAACGTAATGGACACAGTCGTGATAGAAGATGATGATGAAGAGGAACCGAGCGCAAGACGACGATCTACGGATATACGTGACAGTTATCGGGACTTACTCCAAAGGATTGAAATGGTCAGATATTGAATGCACAGGTTCAAACATCAAGTCATGCAGGTTTTGGGAATTCGCAGTGGGACGAACTCGCATACTTAGCGGTTTACGCAATCCCACAGAGGAGTCACTTGAAACACTAAAAGAAGCCCTTCATTGTATGGAAGAATTTGCTAGAAAAACAGTGGCACTCGAGATGAAAATAGATAGTCAACCTCTTGTTCGAAGGCCTGACGTGCCTACAGTTGGACGTCCCCAACCATTTACGCCCATTCGCAAGTTACATAAGGTAAATTTAACATTTATTGACTTTAGATTTACCAAGACTCACAATCAAAAGTGGTACATTTCGCACTCCCATCTGATAAGTGATTTACCGCTCTCAAAATTCTTTTTTCATATTTTAAAATAGTGTGATTATAGTACTTTACAACTCAATGAATTTTTTTAGAGATCGCATATACGCAAGACTGGAGAGCCGAAACGTGTACCTTTTCAAGTGTTTCCGGACTATGATGTTAACGATAGACATACAGTGCCGGGTGTCTCAGAATGGAGCCGGTCGAGGGCACGGGAGAGTACATTGGATCCAATGTCCAACATGCGACAATTGGTTGCACATGCAGTGCATAGATGGAAAATGCCCTGGAGACGGGACTGTGTTACTTCCTTAGATCGAGATCCTTAAACCTCAAACTTACGCTGCCTTTATGTAACATATCGCATCATCATATCATCATACAAGGCTTGAAGAACATGATTTTGAAACATGCCTGCATTGCTTTCTGCTGACTCACCTAGTTGCTACCATGTTCTAGAGCTTGGAAGTTTTCTTCGTTTTTGTTGTTTGCTATTCAGTCGTTTCCGGGTATAATTCAGTCTCGACTATGTTTGCATTTGAAAGATTCAGAGAGAAAAGATACTGCGACAGGACCATTATGTCACAGGAAGATAATGAGCTAGGCTCATGCTAAGCTCCTCTACACTATGTTGGATTCTGGCTTCTCATGGGTTCACATAAAGCAGAAATGCTTGTCAAACCATTCCTTACAAAGAAATTTCCGTCTTATCCCATGCTCGGAAACAGCTTCTGTCTCATAACCGCATCCGAAAACAACTCTAACTGCGGAATGTACAGGCTGTTACAAAAACTTTTATCCAATGATGCGCAAGAATCGGAAAAAGTAAAGAAAAACTACAAGATCATGAAGCAGTACATCTCTCCACGTGAAATGGGCAATATTTAGACGTAATGTCGCATGTTTCTGCAGCCAACATTACCATCACGCCTATTTTTGATTACGGTAGGCCGAAAGTGCCTTTTACGACCTATAATCCAGTTGGTGTGTAAGTTCGAGAGCGGTTTTCTCGGCAGGGAAAGCATGCCGTGCAACCGGGATTGCACTGTTTTCATACTTGGACGATAAGGAATCTACCCGCGCTCAAATCCTCAGTTGCTGGATTTTGCCGATCCATTGCTTTTAGGGGCAGCTTCCGAGCAGAAATGGAAATTTAGCGTATAAGGGCTTCCGCGCTGATAAAGCTCTAGCCCAAGTGGCATGGCACTAATTTACCTCTGAAGACCGCTTCAGGAAGTGGCGACCGGAACGCCCCGGCGACCGCGAGAGTTAGTCGGATAAGCCAGACTGTGCATACCGCACACAGTCAAGACGTAGGGTCCCACAAAGACTCTGCGTCTTAACCTTGGCGGCAGGCGACAAAATTGAAATCAAGAGCTCTCGGAAAAACCCATTTTCGTCGTTTTGGTGCTCTCCAAGCTGCATTTTCAGATTTTAGCGGGAGGAATAAGACCAGGTAAGCGAAAAAAAATCCATTCGAAATTTTGCCCGGACGCTGCCTTTAGGTGGGACGCATGCGAAGATAAAAAAAATTGGTATTCGAACGTACTTTGCTCCTCAACGCCTGCTAGAAATTCAAATTGACACATTTACATATAAGCTTGTTGAATTTCAAAGTTTGCGTGTGACAAAAGCGCCTCAGCCGTTGACAGCCGTTAACACGTTGTTTTATCCATAATGGACTCTACTGTTAATCGTTGATGATTGCCCATGTTTGATCGTTTTTGCTTGGCATTCTTTGTAGTTGTGGAAATGGTGTGTAGCGATATTCCAATTTTGCTAACAGTTCTTTATTGACGGCTAACTTTCGGCGCTTTCGGTCGAAGTTCTACGCAACCCATTCCTTTAGACGATAGGAAAAGACTCAGAATACTCTTGAGAGAAAGCTAACGCGAAATTCAGAAGTACAAGTACCATACTCACCTTAAAGGCAGTGTCCGGGCAAAAACTCGATTTTGAGATTTTGTGCTTATACGGGCCTATTCGCTATGCTGAATCCGAAAATCCACATTGGAAAGCACGAAAAGGCGAAAAAGGGCTTTAACAGAGGAGGGAAATCGGCAGGTGGGCGGGGCTTTCCCCACAGCGAATTCACGCTCCCAGCTTCCAGAGCGATTTTCTCGATTCCGCTAGCCGTTCTAACATCGCTACCGGCCAAGTGCGAATGATTGACTTGAAACCGGAAGCGAGAAGGTCGCTCCGGAAGCCGGGAACGTGAATTCGCAGTGGGGAGGACCCCGCCCACCTGCTCATTTCCCTCCTGTGTTAGAGCCGTTTTTCGCCATTTTCGCGCTCTACAATGTGCATTTTCGGATTCAGCGTAGCGAATAGGCCCAAGTAAGCCCGGACACTGCCTTTAAAGGCAGTGTCCGGACAAAAACTCGATTTTGAGGTTTTGTGCATATACGGGCCTATTCGCCATGCTGAATCCGAAAATGCACATTGGAAAGCGCGAAAACGGCGAAAAAGGGCTCTAACACAGGAGGGGAATCAGCAGGTGGGCGGGACTTTCCCCAGTGCGATTTCACGCTCCCAGCTCCCGGAGCGATTTTCTCGATTCTGCTAGCCGTTCTAACATCGCTACCGGCCAAGCGCGAATGATTGACTTGAAAAGGAAGCGAGAAGGTCGCTCCGGAAGCCGGGAACGTTTCGAACCATTTCCCTCCTGTGTTAGAGCCGTTTTTCGCCATTTTCGCGCTTTATAATGTGCATTTTCGGATTCAGCGTAGCGAATAGGCCCAAGAAAGCACAAAATCTCAAAATCGAGTTTTTGCCCGGAGACACTGCCTTTAAATAACACAGAGTGGAAGTCAGAAGACACTTATATACAGGACTACGGCTCAGCTCTTTTATACGTGATGACCTGACCTACAGACACCTTCCTTACCAAATGGGCAGACCACACAATTAGGAGTAGGAAGTACGATCATAAGCACGGTTTCGAACAAGTTGCCGTCCGAGATTAGCTGGAGGAATATCGACCACTCTTATCGCGCCTTGCAAACCCGCGCTTTGTACGCAGCGCCTCACTGCACTGCTCCACTCATCAGAGATGAAGGCAGGCAAAAGGGATCTCAGCGGTACTGCTGGGACTACGAGCTTCACCTCGACGCGACCCGCGGGCCCCAAAGGCTCGCTCACGCACAGCATAGCCGTTGGATGCTGCAATTTCTTGAGCCAAGGCAATGGAATATGAGCGCTCGTCGCCGCCCTTTTGTTAGCTATAATAGATCCTCCTGGATCTACTGTAGCTAACAAAAGGAGCTATTGTAGCTAACATGCGTAAAACAGCTTCAGTGGTGTCCTTCGACAGCGACGAACGCTCACATTCCATCGCTTTGGCTCAAGAAATTGCGGCATCTAACGGTATGGTGTGAGCACGCCTTTGCGGCCCGCAGGCCGCAAAGGCGTGCTCACACCATGAATCCGAGCAGTACCGCTGAGATCCCTTTTGCTTGCCGTCCATCTCTGATGATGTTGAGCAATGCAGTGAGGCGCTGCGTACAAAGCGCAGATTTGCAAGGCGTGATAGGAGTGGTCGACATTCCTCCAGCTAATCTCAAACGGTTGTTCGAAACCGCGCTTACGATCGTACCAGCCCTAGCCCATTTGGTAAGAAAGGTGACTCTATGCAGTCCGGAATCATTCATTTTATAACATCCCTTTCACGCGGAGACACATAGTCGCGTAAAAGAGCATGTAGATGAAATGGAAAAGTTAAGAGCAGCTAGACCGTTTTTGAAAGCACCGTATAGTGCGTCATAAAATTCTAAGGTACAAGTTTCAGTATGAATCTTGTCGTATGAACCCGAGATCCTCACCCGCAAAACCTTGGAGGCGTCTTGGATTAATGCCAAAAATCAAAGATTGAACACGCAGGAACTCCGCGCTTCAGTCTCTATGCGGATTTGAATTGAGGTCAGGTCATCACGGCACACATAAAAAGGCTGAGGCGTAGTCCCGAATATAAGTGATCTTCTGACTTCCGCTTTGTGTTATTTAAGGTGAATATCGTTCTTGTACTTCTGACCATGTTTCGCGTTAGCTTTCTCTCGAAGAGTATTCTGAGTCTTTTCCTAACGTCTAAAGGAATGGGTTGCTTAGAACTTCGACTTCCAGGCTTTGAAGAAGGCGAAAGCGCCGAAAGTTAGCTGTCAACAAAGAACTGTTAGCAAACTTGGAATATCGCTCAAAGACCATTTCCACAATCTACTGTTAATCATCTTCAATTTAGGAATTCTGGCAAAAGCTGACATAATGAAGACTTTTTGTTCTATCACTGCGGTAACTCTCACAAATTCTTGCTTCTGCTCAAGTTACATCCAAACATTACAGATAATCTTCATTGTCTGTGTACTCGTCGGTGAGGCTTACAGATCTGATATCTACCCGGAACATCAGCCTATCGGAAAAACCCGCTTTACAAAGCCTATTCCGTAGAGCCCTGCGTCTTCCTCAACTTATGGCTTGCTCCCGAAGTTACGAATAAAAGCTAGTTCAAGATTGTCTTGCAACAGTGAAACGCGCGTACTATTAGGTTGCCTCATATGTTTTTCAGTTTTGACTATTACCGCAATAAGTCACACACAGACTTCCCAATAGTAATTAGAATGCAGGGCACCATTTGATAGAACAGAGCAAGCTTTACAAAACATTATCTGAGTGTTGCACCAGCTTCAGCATCACGAGTTAGAAGCCGAAATCTGAAAACATTCGGATGCCCAAAAATTGAAATTTTTTCCATGTGTGTTCAAAGAAAACTTACCGGATTTTAAACTGGTTCACGCATATACATTCCACATAGTACATTTCATATATGCCGTTAATGTGTTTGTTTTGTGCTAGAAACGGAGAAAACTTCAATTTTCAAGCTTCCAAAACAGTGATGCTGCGTTATTCCACATAGGTAAGTGTTCACTACAAGTCTTGAGAAATGCTTCGGTAAATTTTCAGCTTCGTGGCAGCGCCAGTGCTTAAAAAACACAGAATTTAGCTCCTTTTGCTATGCTATTTTATGTTGAAATTAGTATTTTCGGGAACCAAAGCTTCTAGAAAGCAAAAAAATCTGTGGCGGGAGGAGCTGCAACTGCACGGATGCTGTTGCATTGCAGTGTGCAGTGCAACTGCAATGCAACTGCAATGCAACCGCACACCTGCGTAAGCACTCGTCCTCAGGGGTGGTTTGTGATACGAAGGGGCGGCTTGTGATACGTATCACAGGCCCGTATCTCCTTCTAAAGGGCACGTCAAAGGATTGGACCAACGCAGATCGGATACCCATGGGTCCCTCTTTGCAACTATGTGCTAATCTGGGTGGATGGATCTTGCCTGGACGCTGCCTTCAAGGCCTCCGCAAGCTTAGTTGGCTTCGCACTCGTGATGTGAGGAGGCCGGTGCGAACACTTACGTGCCCTCTTGTAGAGCATTTGTTCTATCGAAATGGTGTCATGCTCATTGAGAAGTGTGTGACTTATTCCGGTAAAAAGTCAAAATTGAAAAAACTCATGAGACGACCTAATAATACTGCATTTTTTTCCGGCAATAGCCTTTATGTACATAATGGCATTCGCGGTCCTGTCGATGAAGTGGGCTCAAACCCGTAAAGGTTATAAATTCTTGCCTCTCTTCATGTAAACCACCTTTCTTCATATCTGCGATAGAGCGCTTCAATGTCGTCTTTCTTGCTGACTCGAATTACGGGATCCTCTTCGCTGCGGGATGCAAATAAGCTTTATCGCCCCCGCTTACATCACTGTTTCTAAGCTAACATTGCCCTGATGTGAACAAATCAATAAGTCGAATGGATCAGCAAATTGTCGCAAAAAAGCAGCTTATGTTTCGCGCTGTGCCTCATTTACGAAGGAGTATCAGCCTCATTGATTTTGCACAAAGGAGTGCTAACTAACAAATTTACAAAGTTTGAGTTTTATTCATATGCATGGAACTCTATTTTCTTGCCTCTTCTATCATTTACGAAGGCATTCGTCATAGAGAAAAAGTATTTATTTGCATTCTTTATTCATTTTTGTGGCCCGAGCATGGCTATTATATGATACAGATGGCAAGATAATCATAATAATCACAATAACAGAACAAAGTTAATAGCAAATTTGACAACCTGAAGAAGGGCAAGATAAATCAATGTATATCACTGGTTCGAAGCAATGTACAATACCACTCTCAGAATGTGCAAAATGTCGAGGAATTCCGGGAATTCCGCGAAAGTTCGCGACATTCCCGGAATTTTGCGGAATCGATGCGAGTCACGCAAACTACGCAGCGCCATAACTTCCATCGGAATGAATATATTCTGAATCCGGAAGCAGCATTGTGTTCAGCTCTTCAAGGCGAATCTTTTCTTGTGCAGCATGTCCTCAATATTCCATTTCCAGTTTTCTCAAATTCTTCTAAGGAGGTCGCTTTGCAAGGATGCAACGCAGTGCGTATCCATAAAAGATACCAGTAAGTACTGTTCAATAGTACTATTTCTGTAGATTATAGTGCGCTAGAAAGTGGCCGCAGATTTCTTTCCAAAGGAGATAAAAGCGTTGGTGAATTCTGGAAAAATCACGCGTTTCCAAATTCTACGCCGTAACTTCCTTCGGAATAAGCATATTCTGAATAGAGCAGCATTGTACTCAGCTCATCAAGGCGAATCTTTCGGTATACAGCATGTGCTTGATATTTCGATTTCAGCATTCTTGAAACTTTCTGCAGACGTCTCATCGAAAGGGTGTAAACCAGCGCGTATTGCCCTTAGCAGATTTCAGAAAGAATCTTTCGAAAGTACTTCTTCTGCAGATTATGACGCGCCAAGAATTAGCCGCACACTTCTTTCTAAAGGGAATTGGAGGGCTGGTAAATTCTGGGAAAAGCATGTCGTCTTAAAAAATTTTTCACCATAACCCTAAAACATGAAGGTTTTTACTAAGCAGATATGATTTTTGTAATCAGCAGGTCAGATAACCTCTTTGAGCAAGCTTTTCGAGATGTTGCGGGCAATTTTTTTGTCGTTTTACGCTCTGAAGCTCGCCGGTGGATTGTCAAAATGTCGTGATCTCGAAAGAAAACTTCGCTTACGGAGATTTTCGAACACGCTCTTTATGAAAATCGTGGTCTTCGAGGAATACAGGGTTTTTTGCAGAAATTTGGTGAGGTAACCGTAACTAAGTCACGAAAGTAAAAAAAAATTTGCCTGCACCTCACGTATCTGTCAGAAAACTTGCCCGATTGCTTTTATAGGTTACATTCACTGGGAACTGTGCCAGGTGCATGTCTCAGACTCCACTCTACAAAAATCGCCCAGTTACGAGCCTACGAAAACATCCTCATGAATTTTGCACAAAATATAAAGATCGCGTATTTCGTTAAAATTCCATCTTGAGTGGTATGACACGCTGGTCAAATCAGTTCAATTCGCTTAATGAATCTTTCCGTGTCGGCTTTGTAGTTAGACCTGAGCTCTCGCTGCGAAACTGCTTTGATGTTCAATTTAGCAGCTGAAGCACACCCAACCACCATATTCAATACAGTGGGACTCCTTGGGCGAAGTGAACATAATATTTGCAATCAGAATGTCATACAACCACTCAAGGTGCAATTTCAACGAAGGACGCGATCTTTACATTTTGTGCAAAATTCATGAGGATGTGTTTTCGTAGGCCCGTAACTCGGAGACTGGAGCCTGAGTCATGCACCATTCGATAGCACGGTTCCTAGCAACTTTAGCACATAAAAGCAAGCAGGCAAATCTTTTGACAGATGCGCGAGAAGTGCGCAGAAAGCCACGCACTTTCGTGATGCAGTTACAGTCACCTCACAGTATCCCTCCAAAAAGACACTGTAATCCTCAAAGACCACGATTTTCATAAAGAGCGTGTCCGAAAACCTCTGTTAGCGGAGTTTTCCAATTCGAGATCACCCATTTTGACCAAAACCCACCGGCGAGCTTCAGAGCGTAAAACGACAAAAAATAAAATAACCCGAAACATCTCGGAAAAATTGCACTTGCTCATAGAAGTTATCCGATCCGCTGGTTATGAAAATCATATCTGCTTAGTAAAAAGCTTCGTATTTTAGGGTTATGGTAAGAAAATTTCAAAACGACATACTTTTCCCAGAATTCACCAGCCCTTCTATTTTAGAATTAAGTGTGCAGCTAATTCTTGGCGCGCCATGATTTACAGAAAAAGTACTATCGAAAGGTTCTTTCTGGAATCTGCTGAGAGCAATACGCGCTGGTTTACACCCTTGCGAAGAGACATCTGCAGAAAGTTTCAAGAATACTGAAATCGAAATATTAAGCACATGCTGCATACCGAAAGATTCGCCTTGATGAGTACAATACTGCTTTATTCAGAATATGTTTATTCCGAAGGAAGTTACGGCGTAGAATTTGGAAACGCTTGATTTTTCCAGAATTCACCAACGCTTTTATCTCTTTTGGAAAGAAAGCTGCGGCCACTTTCTAGCGCACTATAATGTATAGAAATAGTACTATCGAACAGTACTTATGGTATCTTTTATGTTGGATACGCGCTGCGTTGCATCCTTGCAAAGCGACCTCCTTAGAAGAATTTGAGAAGACTGGAAATGGAATATTGAGGACATGCTGCATAAGGAAAGATTCGCCTTGAAGAGCTGAACACAAGGCTGCTTTCGGATTCAGAATATATTCATTCCGAAGGAAGTTATGGCGCTGCGTAGTTTGCGTGATTCGCGGTGATTCCGCGAATATCCTGGAATTTTGCGAAATTTCCGAAATGCCGCGAAATTCCGGGAATTTCGCGACATTACCGGAAATTTTGCAATTCTGAGAGTGGTATCGTACAGCAAACACTTCGAAAATGAGAGGAGAAAGTGGACTATTTAAATTTCTAAAGTCAAGCAAAATTTCCAACTGTTACGAATCTGTTCGGTACATCTGCGCGGAGACCACTGACCTGAAAAAGGGTGCAGTATCGTAGTTTCTCAAGTGTTGCAAATCTCTTTTCGGAAGAAATATAATTTTTCATATAAACCTCAATTCTTTTTCAAGACTTTTCAATACTATATTGAAGAGAGAACCACAGTCAGAAGGACATGGTTAGAAGGACGCGTTAACAATTAATTGTAAATTAACACATTAACACGAGACTGCGCAAGACCGAGCGAGGCGGTTACGATGGCCGACCTGTTGCTGTGGCACTCACATTAAAATAGTTTATATAAGAATTCGAAAGAAAAATCATTTGAATTACACTCGTTCTCAGAAATTTGAAGAGACAGCTGAGTCCTGGTTGAGGCATATACATAGCGAAAGAACGATTTCCGCAACTTCATATAAAATAATTTGTTCCGTAATGTCAAATCACTGATTTTTTTTAGAGAAAACACATCTTGTCCATCAAAGAACTCGATGTTTGTCAACTGACAGATGACATCCAAGCGTTTTTTGGATTCACCAGAAGCTTCAGTGAAACCTAAATTCTAGAACATCTGCGTTTTTCTTGAAATTATG